ATGGCTGTTTACTATTACTTAAATATAGCCGTCAATACACTATTTTTTTTCTGAACTTATATATATTGGTTGCATCATCCCGTATAATGTTTTTATTTTTTGAAATAAACTGAAATTATTTGTGAAGTTATGAGTAAGTGTTAACTGATCTTTTATGCTAATTTAGAACAAGTAATTTAAAAATAGGATGTAAATGTGATAAGAAAATTTATTTATACTTTACGTAATTTTACCGCATGTGGTTTCGGCTAAAAGTACTTTACTTACTTAATTTTTATAATTATGCGTATTATCCCCTTATAATTATGTACCAAAGTGAAGTAGTTAATGCCATTAACGAAATTAAAAAATTACCATAATCCTCATGTTTTAAAATTAGACTTTTCGTTCGATTTATTCTTGACCATAAAACTAATGAAACATGACAACAAACCAACATATTTTAGTCAAACATATCGAGTCTCTTTTTCGCTCAAGTAAGGTTTTGATCTGGAGCTGAAAATANATCGAGTCTCTTTTTCGCTCAAGTGAGGTTTTGATCTGGAGCTGAAAATCACTTGTGTTTTTCTTACATGGTTTTTCACCTGGGACAAACGCCCTATTTTTTTTGCTGGGAAAACAGTAATTACAGGGTAAAGAGAAGCTAATTCCCAAAACAAAAACTAAAAGGATGTTTCTCTGATCACTGTTTCTCTCACAACGTTTGGAAGTTGGTGATCAGGAAAAGTCCCTGTGTGCTTGAGGCCTAATCCCCATCTTGCTAGCTCATGTGCGTTTTCATTTGTGTTAGAGTATGTGTGGCTCATATTTTGTTATGTGCATAATGGCAAGGAGGCAGATGCCGGAGCGGGCGGAGCCCGCGACGGCATCTGCCTTGCAGGATTTATATATAGGGGACGCTGATANATTTTAGTCAAACATATCGAGTCTCTTTTTCGCTCAAGTGAGGTTTTGATCTGGAGCTGAAAATCACTTGTGTTTTTCTTACATGGTTTTTCACCTGGGACAAACGCCCTATTTTTTTTGCTGGGAAAACAGTAATTACAGGGTAAAGAGAAGCTAATTCCCAAAACAAAAACTAAAAGGATGTTTCTCTGATCACTGTTTCTCTCACAACGTTTGGAAGTTGGTGATCAGGAAAAGTCCCTGTGTGCTTGAGGCCTAATCCCCATCTTGCTAGCTCATGTGCGTTTTCATTTGCATCTTTGAAAGCATGTACCATGTTCCAGTCAGGATGATTCCCAAAAATTTGCTTTAGATCCTGAACTATTGTCCAAATTTGCCATGGTGTCGTCCTTACATGTGTTAGCATGACTGCATGGACCACCATTTAAGAGTCACTTTCAATGGTGACATAGTTCCAATTTTGTCTTTCTACCCAAAGAGTTGCATTCCTGGATGCCAGGATTCTACTATTAGTGGATTCGTAGCTGATTCCAAAACGGTATGAGTTCCTATGATTGATCCCTTGTTAGTGTTGAAATGCAGGAAATTTCTAATCCAACTGCAGCATCCACGTTTATTTTGATGCCTCCTTATGGTGGAGACCATTTGTGATTGGTATCAAGGTTGATATTATTGAGTTAAGGGCCATCAGTCTGTTGAGGGTCATTTTGTAGCTTTAAGTTCACACAAAAGAGATTCAATGTCCTGCTGGAATTTCAAGGGCTTAACTAGCTTGTTTTGGAAATGAACTTGGTTTCTCCACTGCCATAATTTAAAAATTGTGACTGCTGCAAAGAGGATTAGATGAGAGAAATGTGGTGATTGGGGGCCATGAAAGAGATGATGAATCCACTCTTGGAACCTCAAGTCTGGGAAGTGATTAGTGTTTTCTATTGGGAATTTTGCAGCCAGTGAACTCTTTGTTGGAAGCCCCTCAGTGATGGCTCTCCAGAGGTTTATCTTGTACCTCTCATGAATCTTTGTCTTCCAGAAAAGTTTCCAATCAGTTCGATCAAGATAATGGCTTTCATGATCTTGTGGACTTCTGAGCGTTAGATAGGCAAATCGAGAAGTGAAGTATCCATTACTTGAGGGGATCCATGTCATCTGATCTTGTCTTCAGTATTGTGGCAGCTAGATCTGTTTTATAGCTTGTATGGTTTGGTCATTGAAGAGGGTGGAGAGGATATCAAGATTTCATTCTCTGTTACATTGCTTGAGAAGTTCTAACACTTGGTGGATTTTCGCATTCTTGAGTTAACTGGACTCTGAAGCTAGGAAGATTGGACACCCACGGTTTCGTCCAGATATTGATGGACTCCCCATTCCCAAGCAGAAAGCATGCACCTTCTTCAATTATTGGCCTGCAGGCAAGTAATTGCTTCCAAATGGGATAATCTTGGAGTTGCTTCTGGGCATAAAAAAACGAATTTCTACTACA